TTCGTACCCCTCTGCCAGGCTGGCCTCCCCTCTGCTTACAGCACTATCTTCGGTAAACGATGGTTCGGCATACGTAACACATGTCCCAAACAACGCAGCTTCTGGTGCTGGACACATTCCTCAATGGAAGTACCCGTTACACAACCGAAAACACTCTTTCTCAGAAGGAGAATAATCTCGCAAGATTAATGAAACTCCCATTTGAGAAATCGTTGCTCAAGGAGCCAGTAATCCAACGGCACTACATAGATCCCTTGTTTGAAGGCAGGGTGGCACTATATTCTGTCTTAGTGCGAGTTAACCACGCTGCCGACCAGACACTCGTGACCGAACACTTGTGTCCAAACTGCTAACCAAGAGGTCACGTGTTCGAGATTCGTGAGATGCGCATTGCTGACGATTCCCAATAAGGACGAACAGTGCTTCTCGGCTTTTCAGTATAGACCGGCTTCACTTACAGGACAAAGCCTACCTTAGAGTTTAGGCCGCTAATCATACTTAACAAGTTGGATGTCAGTGCGCGATCTGCATGAAAGTTAGGTACAGGGTCAGGTGTGTCTCAAAGTCCGTTCTATGGTTCACGACACGTACACTTTTGCCAACAGAGTTGACTTCTGGAGGACTGGGGTTTACGGTTTGGTTTCATTTTGAAACTTCAAAGACATGGTGCGTAGTAAGCTTGTTCCTAAAAAAAAGTAATGGTTATTTGGATGAATTTAGTGATAGTGTGGCCTTTCGTAAGATCTTCACATCATTGCCGAGTCGATAACGAAAGGTCATAATCAAGATAAACGGCACTGAAGTCGATCAGGCTAACCTAACACAAGTTCTTTTAGAATCCACATCCTCAAAACCTAGCTTTTATATCCGAAGATGACCTCAGTAGCTCGACAGTAGGCATTGCAAGCAACATAAACCTAAAAAAACTCATGTGTTTATGGTCAATTTCCTTCCACGTAAGGCTTGTATGATAATGTGCCGGAATACTGGTAGCAAGAGGGGGGGGGTTGGGGGTAACTGACGGTGGATCTGCTCGTGAAGTTTGAAAACCTTTCGCCGGAATTCGAGGAAACATCATCATCTACATCTGGAAGGATGTCGATCACCCAATGAACTGCAAGCTTGGCAGAACGATCGACCACAAAGGCCTGCCTAAATCGCTGCTTGAGTTTGTCCCTGGATCTTTTATCCAGGGAACTTGTAAACAACAAGTTTTACCATGCACTTAAATGGCCGGGCATAAGAAAGGCTATCTTTCTATCGTTTGGGTTCAGTACCCACGTTACCTGGTCCGTTGCCCTGTTGACTGCCAGACAATCGATGGCTACACTGTTTACAGCCTAGAATGGCTTCATCTGAAAATTCGTCGTCGTCGTCAAATGTAGAGGAAGCTGTATTCACACCAAGTATATCATATCAGAATGTCACCCAGTCCCTTCCACTGTTGCTAACTCCTTTCAAGATCAAACGCTTCATCCCGCAAGATGCGCACTCACTCGTGCGTCGTGCGAAATCTACGGATTAGGTATCAAGCCGTTTTGTTCACGTGAACGTCACAATTTACAATTCCTATCCTCTGTTCACAATACATGTATGGCGGAAACTTCCAGGGTCAATCTTACCTCCTCGTACAACCTCTATCACCAGGAAATTTTGGAAAAATCACAGCTTGAACAAGTACACTGAGATGTGTGACGGCGAGGGTGAACAGGCTGGTGAAGTAAACGCATTCAAAGTGTGGAAAAGAGGACGCTGCGCTTCATACAGCTAACATGTTCAGTCGTATGTAACTGCCAGACTGGCCAATTCATGGTCCCTACTATTAAATTCCTGAGGAGAACATTAGCACAACGAGTACACACACGATACTACTGCTGTAATTTACGATCGACCAACTACATGTTAAGCGCAAAACTCTCAGTTCTACTTCGTGTGATGCCATCAGCTGACAATAAATAGCAATTACTACCTCCTGAAGGCAATGACTCATTAATCGGACGGTCGGAAAGCTTCAATGGGGATGTGGGTAGTCCTGTCGCGTCACAAATCTCGTGTTTCTGGACTAAGTAGTCCAATAAAACCGTGGTCAATAAGATGCTTCCACATGGTGCTTTCTGCAATCGGATAAACAAAAGGATGTTATCTGCTTAGAAAGAACAGTGACGGTGAGTGGCGCATGGGGCTTCGCCAAGAATCTTCTCCAAGCAAAAATACACGTATCAGACTTTCCCAGCAGGAACACGCTTTTTCGAACGAAGGACTTTTAGAGTAATGCACACAACAAGTCTCCTGGAATAGGAGCACTTTCAACGGCTTCTGGATTTTCAGATGGCTCTTTTGAACTCGATTAAATTTCCAGTCTAGCGTAGCCATTGTGTCGGATGTTTAGTACTCGTCCACATCGTCTAGGCCTTGATTTCGTCCTTCGTTTCCGTTCACTTCAGTCCGTAGGGCCACTGTGACTTATATTGAGCGCATCCCGGGCCGCGTCACGTCACACATAGACTTGATGAGTCACAGAGCACGGTTCCGGTGTTGCTGATTGTCTTCAAGCACATTCAACCATTTGGCATGGGGCTTTCCTAAATCCCGGGCCGCGTCACGTCACACGAAGACTTGATGAGTCACAGAGCACGGTTCCGGTGTTGCTGATTGTCTGCAAGCACATTCAACCATTTGGCATGGGGCTTTCCTAATATTGGGCGAGATGGCTCAAGTGGTTAGAGTGCGAATCTACTGACCGGAAGGTCCGTGGTTCGAAACCGATCTCTGTCTCTCGACTTCCCCTGTCTGGGCTTGACCTGCCTGGCAGTATCCAAATCCTCATGCTTCGTTCTGGTGGCTTGGAAGCTAGGCACCGAACGCGTGTTACAGATGAATGACTACATGCTATCTTCCTAGCATTACTCCCCCCTTGGAAATTACGTAGGCTACCCGGAGAATCCCAAAACACATCTACTTCAAATATGGGGAACTGCTCTCAAAACCGTTCGACCCTTGTACCTGATAGGGCACAGATAATACCGTTGCTTTCTAGGCTATTTTCACTAATAAAACCAACACACCAACTCTGTAGTAGAAGCATGTGCACTCGTGTTAAAAAGACCTTACAGTAGCTTACGAAACTTCCCAAAAAGGCACGAAAAGTTTCCCAGAGGAGCATTGTGTTCTCCAATGAATCTAAAAGGGCATCACACAGTGCCCATGTCTAGTGTCTCCGTATGGGCTTACTCATACGTGTGGTGAGTAATCTTCTGGAATGTGAGCAGCGAATCGGGCAGAGATAGTTACATACTGCACACACCATCAGCGTGGGCTATCAAATCCGAATAGGAAGGTGCTACATGTGCGTACAAATTACGACACCGATGAGTACGGAGCAGCGAAGCGCAACGAATGACCGCGGAGTGTTTGGGCAATAAGCAGAAGTGGCAAGAAGTGGTACTCGCGTTTAAGATGTGACTAGCCACCAAGCCCTGTTCCTAGACTGCCGCCTTTAAGATCTCCATGAAGTGCCTGCTTCAGACTTTTCAATCGAAGAAGAAACGCCAAGTTCCGAGAGAAATAGCAGTGGTACGTCAACTCTTTAGGTTGCTCAAATTTGTCGAGTTCCAGAAGTTGGGACATCTCAACAGCCTGATGACAATTACCCGGGGGACTGTACACGCCAAGGCTCCGTTCTTCTTCGAGAAATTCTTGGGTAGTCCAGTTCACAGGCATTTCAGAAATTAGTTACCAACGGCCAAAAAGATGCATATAGGAACAAGTTTCTTCATATCCTAAGAGGCAACACAGCCTAGCTGAGTGGCATCAGTCATCTATCTTCGGCGAGTCACTTAAATGAAGTTGGAAGTAAACTGCCTGTCCTCATCATCAGTGATAGATTTCGCATCAGAAAGGCGAAACACCAACCGTTTGGTGGATGTCAACCACCTTTTGGATAAATAGGGCAACCTTGTTGGACAATTCATCCAAAAATATGCCTTTTAGGGAACGGTGCCTTCTCCGGAACCAGTTTCAAACAAAAACATCAACTAACTGCATTTTGAACTCCTGTCGTGTACCAGACTGGGAGTTTGAAATTCAAACATGGCTTCCAGAAGCTAGTAGTAATGCGGAGTAGCGTGGAATCCACAGTTCCACTTTTCACGGTCACAGATTGTTTAAACCTATCGGTTGCACCCATAATTTAAGTTCAAATTTCCTGCCAATCGAAATAGTCATTCTTAGACATCGTGTTCCTCATTCTTGGCTCCCATCGACGATTCACATATCTCTCGTGACACAGGGAGCAGCGTGCATTGTGTTGACCAGCAAGTAAATAAGACAACTTTCGGTGGTCTTCAAACGAGGAATCAGTTAAAATGGCTCCCTCTGGTGTGGAGTTCTGGCTGAGGACAAGGACCCAGTCATCTGAATACCCCTGTGGTCAAACAACCAGTTTTACTAGGTGTAAACGAGTTTATTTTTTCATAGAAGTGTAAAATATTGGTCAGCTTTTAAACCAGTCCCTTTTGGTTCAAGATTTTAAATCCAGTACGTCTAGATATTGGCAACTCGGGTGGATTTACTCACAACTGACTAATAGGCGCTACCAATCAAAGACAGGTCGCTGCAGGCCTGAATCTTGGCCGAAACATCTGTCTCATTGAATTTGCTACCCACTGAGTCATTTTCATTTCCCGGAGGCCCCAACATTATAACCTATTATAACCTATTGTATCGTAGCAAGCAGATGATTTAAACACTCGTTATGACCGAAGCGAACCAGACGCACTAGGGTTGTATATATAGTATAGTATAGTACAGCATAGTTGTAGTAACGGTATTTTCCTCAGCTTAGTTCTCGGTCTGAGTCTCCCAAGCTAGCGTCCACGTCAAAACAACCACCAAAGGTGCACAAGGTCTACTAACGCCCAAAACGAAATCATGAACAGTTGTGCAGCGCTTCGTATATATAGCGTAAGCGGTTATA